AAAAAAATTATTAAAAAAATGGAGAGAAAAGGAGAAATAATGAACTTGTTAAGCGACAGGAGCTTTGGGAACCTATATCAGAAACAGGCCACTTTCTCCCCCCCTACAAGATGCAAGGCTTCAGTAATGGCTATGGTCCATTGTACGTCAATCTGATCCATTAGCTTTGACTTATAAAACCAATGAAAATAAAGAAATAAAGGAATCACTTTTCTTTAGGCAGCAATATTGGTCTCAGTGTTATTACAATTTTGCTTTAAAAAAAGCATAAAACACAAAAGGTAAATACAAACAAAATCATCCTAAAATGAGAATGAGACTGTCACTATTTCATGACAAAAGCGTGTTCATGGGTTGAAATGGCTGATTTTTTTTTTTTTTTTAAGCAGAAAGCTTTATTACACAACTCAGTCCAACTTCTCTTTGCTTCTTTCTTTCTTTCTTTCAGGTTTAGTCTCTCATGTACTCCCACCATTTTCTTTGTTCAGCTCAGCCATTAGCATACTTTCATTGCTTTCCCAGTTCCTTTGAAAGTGGAACATCCAAGAAGTAGACTGGTCCTTTTTAGCAAAGATTAGTGGGAATTCACAGACTTAATTTTATTTTCTCATGCTCCATATTAGGCCACAGAGAACGAAAGGGATATAGGAGGAGGAGGAAGAGGAGGAGGAGGAGGGGAGGCGGGAGAGATGGATGAGATACTGGGTTGTCAGCAACTCTTAAAAATATCTCTCCTCCACTCAGTCAGTAATGATGATAGGAGAGACAGAGGGGGGAAAGGGCAAGCGGGTGCTAATAACAACTGGGCAAACCTCAATAACATGAGCTGATGCAATCGACCAAGCCCAGGTCTCCATAGCAACCACTTGGACTCTGATTCCTGCAGCCCAACTCTCTGGTTAAAGTCTGTTTGTCAGTCATTTGGGACTTTGATGCAGGCGCCACTCTCTGTGTATGTGTTTGTATGTGTGTATATGTGTGTGTTTTTCACATTACATATGCATGTCTGTGTGTTTGTTCTCATTCTGCTGCTACCAGCGGTTGATAATCTGGTTCATGTAGTCCTCAGTGGGGAGCCTGCTGCCCGCCTCCTCCGTTCTGCCTCCCTCCTCGCCCTCCTCCCGCTCCTCCCGCTCCCCTTCCCCGTCCTCCAGCGTCGTCACCGAGCTCTGCCGGCTGTGGGAGGGCCACAGGTTGACGCCCAGGCCCAGGCCCTGGTGGCTCTGCTGCATGTGGTTCTTGATGCGCTGCTGCCGCCTCTCCTGCTGCCTGGTGTACTGGTAGCGCTGCTGGAACAGGTCCCTGGCGTAGTCGTAAAGCTCCATGTCCAGCTCGTTCAGCTCCTCTATACGCTGGACCTAACGGGGAAGGAGCAGATGAACGTTGTTGAAGTTAGTTCAGAGGCAAAGAAGGATACAGAAAAAGAGTTGAAGACTATTTTTTGTATTAAGCATAATTCTGATGTTTAAGTGGATGAAATGAATGAAAATGAGACATGTGGAGGTAGAGAAGAAGACTGAAAACTCTCCACAGTAGACAATCTGGGCCCATATTTATCAATCGTCTCAGAGTAAAAAACTTCTCTATCCTGGCCGAACATTCTCAGGGTGACACATATTCGGTCCTACTTTTTAGGTCCGGGAGTAAAAGTATTTTATCAGCCTTCTAAAATGTCTCCCGCTTCACTGACCTTGTAAAAGAGCACACGATCTCTCCACAAAAAAACAAGGTGTTCAAAACTTTACAGGGAAAATGCAGCTTTGCAGCAGTGATGATGTGTCTGTTATGAATGGCTTAATTTGTAACAGGTCTATGTTGACTTTTACCACCACCCCAATAGTGACGTATTGACACCTGAAGCTAATATACAGGAACTAAATTTAGTTCCTGGTTCCTTTGTCAAAATGCAGGTAAAGATCTTGAATTCCTCAAAAGGTTATTGGTCCCCTGGGAAAGCTCCCGTGGTGGAAACGCCTATTACATGACATTTGTACAAAAGCTTTAAAGGAGTCCTACATGGAGAGGGAACAGAGAAAAATGTGTGTTGGCAATATGTGGAGCAAGATAACAGAAATGTGTTTGATGTTTGGTTGTGCGGTGCAGCTGGCTGTATTGGCGTGCATCATCTGGTGTGTGTGTGTGTGTGAATTCAACATGGAGGGGGAAATGTGTTTAATTAAGAGAATCCCTTTGAAATCTGTGATGGAGTGCTGGATTTCATTTGTGGGCAACATGTGCGACAAGAGAGGGAAGCGACACGCTGCATCAGTGTTGAAAATTAGAGATGTTTGATCGGCAGCACGGGGGGACACCGGCACAAAGCCAGGAAGACTGAGCTTAAGTCGTCAACACAGAAACGTAATGTACCAGAGAACAGTTGTCATATAATTTAGAAACCAGTATTAATCAAAGATGACTCACTGGGATCTCGAAGCCACGAGGTATAAGTGGAGGTATAAGTGGAGGTACAAGCTTTGCAGGAGAGTGTAAAATAAACGTTCTCCTCATAACCTGCTGACGTAATTACCTGACTTTTTATAAATAACTGAATAAAGTCACAATTTCAGACAGAGTCTTTAGAAGTATTTAATTTAAAATGTAATTTTAAAAATGTATTGTACTCAAAATGCCACACACAGCCTCATCCGCCTGCCTCACCATGTGACATTTTCTCTTTTTTGTGATAATAACCATTGGTCCACCTTTCCGCAGCCGCTGTCAGCGGGGCATATGTTATTTTCTATCCTCCCAACTGGTTTTGATGTATAAATCAGCAGTCTGCTGTGTACTGGAGGATATTTTTTGCTGGGGAAATTGAGCTTAAGAACTCCCACACTGGATCAATCAAAGTGTGAAGAACATGTTTGAAGCTGCTGTATTTTTTTATTTTATTTTTTTTAAACAGTGACAGTCATCCCAACTCATTTCACAGCAATACAAGACCACTGTGTTTACTCTCTGTTTCCCTCTTTTTTCTCATTTTCTACTTCTTTTCTCTGATTATTTTTCTTCTTTTTTTAAATATTGTTTTAATTTCCTGTATGTAAATGAATGTGCTACGGATGCCATGTTTATTTTCTAAGAGAGGTATCAGTCAAAAAACAAAACCATTGCTATGGCCATTACTTAGAAAATACCACTTTGAAAGAAAAACACATACATACTTGGATTATCCAACAGACTGCATTATTTACATTAAGTATTACTGTAAGTGCACTTTTCCAGTGGTGAAAGAGGTACTTGGGACTTTTACTGAAGCAAAAGCACCAATACTGCGATATAAAAACCAAATCCTTCATTCAAAAGCCTACTTATGTAAAACTACAGCAGGCAGTATTATCAGCTAAATGTACTTAAAGTATCAAAATAAAAGTACTTGTTCTGCAGAAAGCTGCCCCCTGTGACTGATACATTTTCATATGACATTATATTTTTAAAACGGATGTAGCATTTTACAGTTGCAGCTGCTCAAAGTGGAGCTAGTTTTAAAAACTTTATATACTTTATAATACTTTATATATATATATATGTTTTTGTATGTTATTATGTACAGTAACTATGCCTGTCAACTTAAACTGCAATATCTCCCTCTGAAATGTAGTGTAGAAGCATAAAGTAGCATAAAATCGAAAGTAAAGTACCTCAGAATTGTACTTAAGTACCGTATTTAACTAAATGTATTTAGTTACTTTCTCCCACTGACTTTCTCTCATGACCCGAGAGAAACTAGAACTAACTCTACAAAAGATGACGGAGTAGCAGCACTAACCGTAGCGTTGTCCAAGTCCACCCCTGCAGCGCGGGTGCTGTTGTACTGCATGAACGGCCTGATGAAGCGCAACCTGAAGGTTCGTTCAAACAGGAACTGGGTTTTCCTCTGGTACTCCGTCAGACCGAAGAAGGCCATGTCTCGTAGGTTCTTCTTGGCCGACTCCAGGAGAAGCTGGGCCCTCTTCTTCTCCGGAACCGTGGACATGTTGTAGCAGCCGACGAGGCTCAGGTCTGCTAACATGCGAACCTACAGACAGAGCGACAGGAAGTGGAGGAGGTTATAGAAATCAGAGGATGTTTGTGTGAACGATGGTGTTAAATAATGCACCTTTAAATTAAGGACTTTAAACCTTAGTGTCAGGAAGAGCAGAGGGCTAAATTCTGACTTCAAAGGGAAAATCAATCAGGTCAGTTTATATCTTTTCTGGATTTCTGCTTTGGTTTTACAGCCAAGAGAAGGAAAGTAAAAAGGAGTTTTCACTAGTGTATAAAGTCTAATATTTGTAAGAACATTTATCTTTGTGGTGTTGATGCTGAATAAAGCTGAAAGAATTTATTGATTGACTGGATAACTGATGAGTCATCTTCCTTTGGCTGAAACCAATGCTTTTTTTCCATTATCAATTCATCTGCAGATTCTTTTTCTTGATTAATCGTTTAGTCTATGAAATGTTAAAAGATTAAAATTCCCAATTTCTCAGAAGAAACGTTGGCTTCAGTTTGCTTGTTTTGTCCGACTAACAGTTCAGAGCAGTCAGATATTCAATCCACTCTCAGGAATGACAAAGAACATCAGAAAAAAAAGCTTGAGAAGATGAAAGGAAAAGGTGAAGGCAATTTTGCTTTAAAGAGGACTCAAATAATGAACTGATTTTTAAAATAAAGTAGCTGCAGATTCATTTTCAGTCACTGGAATAATTTATTAATTTACTAATCATTGCAGCTCTACATTTAACTAAGTTATAAATATAAAAATCTTATGTAAAAATCCTCTCTCAAATTCCTCGATTAGGCATTTTACTTAATAAACTAAAGTAGTTTCGATTCTTGTGGATTTGTTCCAAAATGAGATCACTTCATCATTGAGTGCACTCGGGAGCTGTTGTGCTACAGTACAGGAACAGGGACTGCATACTGATTTGGATTCACAAGAGTACACCGTGTGCACCTCAGTCTGCCGGTCCACCAGGATGCTTCAAGAGTGTGTGTGTGTGTGTGCGCCACATTCTTAAGTTATTGGACCTTGAGTAATAACAGCCTCAGGCTCAGATGAAATAAGCTGGCCAACACGTTTAGGTGGGAGACTGAGATAGCATTAGAAAAGAAGGTGTGAATTTGAGGTGTTTATGGCCAGCAGGCAAACCCCTGACTGTATATCTGTGTGTGTAAGTGTGTGTGTGTGCGCTCATGTGTTCATATGTTTTTGAATTGCAGTGAATGTGAATGTAAAAATAATCAAATAAAAAAAACTGTTTTTGTTAAGAAATCAATATTTGATTTTTGTTGTTGTTGTTTTGCTTTCCCATTCTGTTTTTAAAAAAAGAAATCAGTATTGATCACTTGTGTATTTCTCGTGTAAAAATCTACCAAACAATTTGATCTATTTTTTCCTGCAGAGATGTATGCCCTGCCCTGTATCTTCCAGTGGGCTTGGATTTATGATACCAGCGGACAATGTCGACAGGAGAGAAGTCTGATCAGGTGCAGAGATGCAGGTTATCTAGGTAGCGGTGATAAATGGCGGCATTAAGACTGAAATCAGCTCTTTTGAGTGTTCGCAGTAAAACAGTCCTTGCACAACAGCCCAAAACCAAAGCTGAATGGCCGAGAATTTGTGGACAACTTCGCTCTCTGACTTTTAAACGACTGTACTTGTTTCTGTTCAGAGGAAGGTAACCGGTCAACCCTATCCCATCTCACAAAGCTTACACTGTGCAGTTTTTATTGATCTGTATCACAGCTACTGGTGTGGTTATATTAGAGCTTTTGTTCTCTCCGTACCTGTCTGTTGTTGGCCAGGTTGTAGGGGCAGTCCATGAACTGCTGCAGGGTGCATCCCGACCAGTCAGAGCCCTCGTAGCAGGAGGGCAGCTCCTCGGGCGTCGGAGTTCGTCCATCGCACATGTGCAGGGAGGTTTTCCACGTGGCTCCCCGCTGCACATGCCGCCACTCGCTGAGGTATCGAGACACTGGGTCCCTCAGCAGAGTGATGTAGTAGAATTTTCTATTGGGTGTAAAAGGAGGGAAAGGGGCAGAAGAAAGAAGTAGAGGAGGGGAAATAAGAGGTAAGAAAGAGGAGGAAATTGAGAAAAAGAGAGATTTACATTAATAAATTACTCTAGATAAAGGCAATCAATTAAAAAGCAAGAACATACAACCTGTAAAAAAAAATCTTAACTTCCTTAGTACTTTCCGTTGTTTTTATTTGGAAAGGAGAAGCAGAAGTGAAACAGCACTGATAAGAAGTTACAAGCAAAGAGTGTGATGAACACTCTTTCAAAACTGCATCATGTGTCATTGCCCAGTTGCCCATGTGGTGGCACTGTGTACAACGCTTTACTGCAGCACTTCTCCATCCACAAAACTCAGTAGGAGGGAAGCTACAGACGGAGGGTGTCATACTTAATACCATATTATTTGCATTTACTAGAGGCGGCCCTGCGACGCACAAAAGAAATCTATGCAGCAGACAGGAAGTCAAACTACAAATGAGCGGGAGGAGGAGGTGAGGGAGAGAGTTGATTTGTCAGGCAGAGGATCAGGTCAGTGTTCAGGCCACACTGTGGAGGAAAAGAAACTGCTGGCACAAGCACATCTCACTCTGCAACACACATCTCCACCCTGCAAACATCCTTATGTCTCAGACTCTGGCACACACACACACACACACCAAACATCCTTCCTCTCACCTCGCACTCGCACCAAAGTCTGCCTCCGCGAGATGACTCACCCCGCATCTGAGATACGGATGGGACCGTTTCTGTGGTGTGTAACGTAATGGTGCATAGCACAGTTCAATGTCTCTCCAGAGGGGACACTCCCACCAGAGCGGAGACCTTTCCAGGCATTCACACTCCAGCTAATTACTGCAGTCTAATCAATCAACACATCCTCATTAGCCGCACACACATGCAACGTGTGTGTGTGTGTTTATGTGTGGCTATGTGCCTGCAGTGTGTCTGGAAACAATGGTATGGATTTGTCTGGGCAACAGACATGCCGCTGGTCGAAAATACGCACAGGCACACACGCTGCCCTCCTCTCCTGGGCTTGCATCACGTCAGAGGAATGTTTGCAGAGAGAATTTTGTGTGCTGACAGGACTCCATGAAAATAAAAAAAAAAATAATAATCACCCCCGGTCCACACAAGCCGCCTCACATATACACACAGACTCTCTGCTTCAATCGCTAAATCCCCACACAAAGCCCCAAGTGTCACAGAAACAGTAGCAGTGTCTGGATATTAAAAAGAAGTGGCTAAAACCCCCTGAAATCCAGTGGGCAGCGGGGAGATCCTGGGCGACAAAACCCTAAATCTAGCAACAGTTGAGATGTGGTGCACAATAAAACAACCGAACTCTAAATCCAGCGGTGGCAAAGGAGATCCTGGACAATGAAAACAAAAATCAAACCCAAAAACAAATTTCATCTGGGAGATCCAGCGCAACACACAACAACCACACCCTGAATTCAGCTGTAGCATGGAGAGATCCCCTGCAAATGAAAAACGAATCTAGTAGCAGCAGGGGGATCATGGACAATAAAACGACTAAACCCTAAATCCAGTGGCAGCTGGGAGACCCCGGGCAACGAACCAAACAGACCCTCAATCCGGGGGACAGTGGGGGGATCACGGGCCATAGAAACAAAGTATCTAAACTCTAAATCCCATCAACCTAAACCTAAAATCTCATCCCTGATCTAATCAAAAGCAGAGGAGAAGAGAGGCACAGTCAAACTGGAGCCTGCAGGAGACCGGGGTACATTATGGAGATTCCTATGATGACATTATCAGGATTCCTAACACTCCCCTGAGTGCAGTGTGTGTTTGTGTGTAAGTGTGTGT